ACGGAACCCTCGCGTGCTCAGTTTGCTAGAACATTCGAGAAGTCCCTTGACTGAGCATAAAAGAGGCGGAGTGAGACGTCTCTATCTCACTCACTCAGTTGGTCACTTCGCCTCGTTCAGCACACGGTCAAAACAAGTCTGATCTTCTTCATCGCATCATACTCACGATATAATTAAATTTAGCAGAACTTTGTTTTTTTTCAACCTTTTAAATTCTATTCTGTAAATATAAATTATTTTATATTTTTTAGAAAATCATTTGAAATTCTGGATACCTCAAGTTCAAGTAAAGTCCGAAAGTGCAAAAATCATCCAAACAGTTTCTACTACATTTGGGAAGAATATATTACATTTTCATGAAGGAAAAACATATTATAGAAGATAAAGGTAGCTTACTACCAGTATTTGGGTGTAAAATTGGTGACCAAGAAAAACATTGGGCTCAACATGTGTGTTGTACAGTTTTCACATCTGACTTGACACAGTGTCTGAATAAGAAGAGAGCAAGCATGCCATTTACAGTTCCCATGATTTGGTGTGAGCCCAACGATAATCTAAGTGACTGTCTACAAGACTAATGTTTCTGGATATTCAGGCAAAACTAAACAATACATTAAATATTCAGATATTGCATCTGCAATGAAACCAGTACCTCTTGGGTTGGTCTTCCAGTGCCATATCCACCAGCGAATTGGAAAACAGAATAGTTATCATGCAAAGAAGACAATGAATCATTTTCTTCCTCTTCATCTAATAATTGTATTCCTATGGCACTTCAACATAAACAGCCTCATCTAATCACACAAGAAGAATTAATAATCTGGTTCATGACTTGTCTCTGTCAAAGCAGCATGGAGAACTTATCGGCGCTCATTTACATCAATGGAATTTATTAACTCCAGGAATAAGAGTTTCAATTCACCAAAGTTACCCTTAAAGTCTTGCTTCTCACTACAGCATGCAAGATGCACTGATGGAAGAATTAGATACTGAACATCATTCTCAAGAATAGAGACTTTTATCGACTCATCTAAAGTAAGTCTAAAAGCTGTACTGTTGTATAATGGGAACACTAAGCCATCGATTCCTGTTGCTCATGCTGTGAACACGAAAAAAAACTTCTGAATGCTTGCACAGTATACATTCTTAAATACAATTTTCAATGAATAAAGTTATTAAAGAAAAAGTTATTTTCACGATACATAAGAATATTTTGAATAAATCTTTCATAACTTTTCAACATGATTTTTAGAATCAGCATCATCAAATTACTCACAAATAGTTTCATTGTTTCTAGTAGCGATAAAATATGTTTTGTTGTCCAGTGTTTGTTCGTTTGTAGTTAAGCTCAAAGCTACCCAATGGGCTATTTCTGCTGTGATCACCACGTGTATCGAAACCCGATTTTTAGCGTCATAAGCCTTCAGACTTACCGCTGTGCCATTGGGGGAGGGTGTTGCCCAATGTAATCTAACATACTATTGTAAACTTTATTCTTAATATTATAATTTGTTTGTTTGTTAGAGGGGGCTGCGGATCGTAACGATGACGTTAAGATCGAAATAATGTAAAAGATGTGACATGAGAATTTCTGGTAAATTCGAGGGTAGATTGTAAATACGGGGTTCAGTGAAGCACGGAGAAGAGAGTTGTGAGGATTGTAGAATTGTTTCAAGATAGTAAAGTTGATTCTAGCCCTTAGAGAAAATCAATCAGTATTATTTTTGATTCAGCCGTGAAGTGGTACAAGTAAGTTTTATTATTTATGTTAGTCTTCTGCAGCTGGCGTCATTTGTAAACATGGCATACGAGTTCCACAGTGTTTAAGCTTGTAGAAACGTTAAGGAAGGAATAAGCTAATTTGCTATCGGTTACGCAGACTGGAAATATTTTCAGCAGACAAGTTAAAAGGACAACGTTAAAACAACATACAGATTTAACTCAATGTTTCAAGATGTGCTTAAACTGTAACATAAAACTTATGATAACACAAAACGAATTTGGTAAGTAAAATATCAAAATTTAAATTGTTAATGTAGATAATATTTACGAAAAAATAATTATTTTGTTTTACGTAAAATTTGCAATTAATTTTTACCCTTATTTTTTAAAACTGAGAGATAAATACATTTCACATATTAAAAAAAATATTATCATTTTTAATCATATTAAATTCTTCCTTACAAACTTTTAATAGCCTTTAATATAGTTTTATTATCAGTATGCGTTATTACTCTCCACTGAGATAACGTAGATATTTTATTGATTAGCAATCATATGCTTGAGTTATAAACATGAGCGTAATTGCTTCTACCGATTGATCGTCTCAAACGTCCCCCGATAAGACAGCGGTAAGTCTTCGGATTTACAACGCTAAAATCAGAAGTTCGATTCCCCTCGGTGGATACAGCAGATAGCTAGATGTGGCTTTGCTATAAGAAAAGACACACTCATCTCAAACAGATACTGGATTTGTTTTAAATGCAATTCGTGAAATTTTTCTATTGCTACTCACTTTATCGATATGCTAATGTTTAGTTTCAACAATACAAAATATTATTAGTGATATTATTGAAAATTTGGACCAACGGTCAGAAACACAAACTTCGAAATTCTAGTAACTTCAATTTTATTAACAAATAAGGTATGTATATGATACAGATTTCAATAATATAACAAAATGTTACTGAATTGTTTTACTTCTATAATGTTTGTTAAAACTGCTGAAAACTCTGCTGATATTCGATGCTAATATTAATGCATAATAATTACCTATATAATTCTACACCGCCTACATATTGCATAAAAGAAGGCAGACAATCAGGCCTAAGGATGGAAGTAGGAATGTTCTATAATCAAGGACATTCTTGGAGGAAGTTGCTGGAAATCTAGGCAGCACCGTTAATGGAACGATCCATATCAAAAAATAATCGTTAAAATATACGTATTTCTACATTAAAAAATCTGAATCTGACTTTTACGCTCTATATGAAACAGATAGATATTTACGAGCACAAAATCTATAACATTACTTTTCTATGTGACATAGAGAATTTTGATTTAACTTACTTATTTCCTATCTACACAATAAACATTTCTGAAATACATATATAGTACATACCCATATTATCACTTCTTTTAACTTTTATTATAATATTCAAGAACAACTGGCTTTTAAAAGCAACATTGTTATGACGATGTTGGCACTCAAATCCCGTACTGGATGCACTTATCAAACCAACAAAACATAAAGATGTTTGATTGTAATTTCTTTACCATTTGCTGTCACACAAATACAAAACGAAATTCTGGAATATACACAAATGAAAATCAGATACTATAATCGTATGAAAACTTAATGTTATTATAAGGGCAACCATACAGTTCTTTGGTCAAGGATTCTACAGATGTGAGAACCATAAAGAGTTTGGTCGAACGTTTGACTAATAAGGAATGACAGCTATTTTCTATTATAGAGAACCGTATCTTTTACATTGTAGTATTTATATATACAAGTGAATGACTCTGCATTTGGCACTAAACCACGAAGGCTTTAAATAATGTTTTTTAAGATAAACAGATACAAAATAGCAAGTTTACAAATTTTAAGTCATTATATGTTGTTTAAAGTACTGTTACATTTATAAAAAGGTGGAGTGTATTTCAAAAGCAAAATCATCAGAAATTAATAATCAAATGTTTTGATTGTTATACACTACGTAGTCATTGGGAAGAATACTGAATATATATATTATAGGATAGAATACAGTTTGGGATTATTTTAAATAATGGATATATTAACAGAGTTGGCACTTATATCTTTGAAATGGGTAATGGATATTCTTCGACCTAGTTTGAAACAACGCTCAAGTAAGCGTCACCTAGGATCCATGTAAAATGAAACAAGGATCTGCGTTTTTTTTTCCTGATAGTTTGTTTTTGAAGGCTAAAAAGTTGATATCAGAAAAGTACTGAGGTGGGACTGGTAATAAAAATAACTAGTTGAGGATACTTGTATTACATGATATTTATGGGGAGTCATGTAGTATTTTTGTGTTATGGGTAGTCATGTATTAATTTGTAAATTGTCAAAAAACATCTTAATCCATATGAACATTTTCTTCATTGTTGTTTGGTGATTTTCCACGTGTGTTAATATAATACTCTGAGAAAAACTCAGGATATTGATTGCTAATTAGAGCACTTGACAGTGTCTACAAGAAACCAACATACTGGTGCGTAAAGCTAAAGGATTGAATTAGGTAAGTTCCTGTAATTAATGTTTTGTATAACTACTCGTCGGAATGTAGTAAACCTGGGGCTTGAATTAGTTAGGGTAATTTATGAGAACATACTAATATAAACTCCAAAATCGATTGCGAACACACTTTGAGACTGAACCGAGATGACTTTCTCTAGATAGATTCATGACAGGAAACAAACAGTGACAGTTTCTGTAACATACGGTAAACTAATAAAAGCGATTAATAAATTCACTCAGATGTTAAACCACTTATGAAGAAAATATATTGTCGAAATAATAGTGATGACAATTTTGTTTTTATGGATTAAGTGTCAAGCGTTGGTTTAATGCACATTATGTTGCAGGGATTATCGGAGAGGTATCAACATTTGAATATACCTAATCGTTGTGAAGAATAGATATACTTCCTTCAATAGTAATGTTGAAACTACAAGAAGAACAAAATTCAACGTAAATTCATTTTTTTTTCAATAGATAAATTAATCAAGCTGTTGGTTGGTACACGAGTGAAATTATGTAAAGCTATTGAAGTAGGCTTCATCTTCAAAGTCAAAAACTAACAATTAAGAACTCCACTGAATTCTGATGAATACCTTGCTTAAAACTTGTGCCACACGAGCTTCATTCCAACCGGTTACCATTCATCATCTTATTATTGCTTGGTAAAACTAGCTAAGTGGGACAGCACCATGGACAAGTACGTGATACCTAAATATACACTGCTGACTCTCAGGGAAATAATTAACTTAGAAAAATATCTACTGAAAATATATTCACCTACATAATACAACACTCGTATATATTCATATAGTATCAGTATTATGCCTGGAGGAAATATAATGAAACAGTTGCTTTGTTATTTACTAAAAATTAAATTGTAATTTGTTAAAATATTAATTAGGACTTTAAAGAAGCAAATAATAGCATTGTTTGAGTGAGCGTGTAATTAAAGTTAAATAGTGTGTAACTGAAGAAGTAGGCTTGAGAGTTTTATCATTTAACTTTCATACATATTTTTTTTTCTTGGTGTATCGACAAGCGACATTCTAGTTTGCTGTACTGAGCAAGAATATTTACAATTTTTACAGTAATCCAAATGTCGCTGATACCGAGGAATCGCTGCCCCACATTCCGTAAGTCAGTATCTTTCTGATTCGCCCGTAATCAATATCTGTGTCTCAGGGATGCTGTTTAGACTAGTCGGAGTGAGGCTAGTGCTGCGGAAACTCGTCACCGTGCTGGTGCTCTCCTGAGATGGCGATAGAGGAAGCCTTCTCACCGGAAGAGGGTGAAACCTCAGTGATCCATTTGATGGTGTTGTGGCATTGCTAGAAGTATGAGCCAAGGTGTAAAAGGAGTCACCCGAAGTACTTGTCGTGGCGAACCTCGGTCGTTTATCCAGTGTGGTTTGTTGTCTGGTACAGAAGACTCGAATAAAGCAAAGTATTGACCCCAAGCCGATAATCAACAGCCCAATATTCTTTGTCGAAGGCATATTAAGGCCGAATCCAATAAATGCCAGAACCAGTCCTACTACTACTAAGGTAGCCCCTGCATACACAATAAGCTGCAACCTTTGTTGTTCTTCTTCCTGACTCTCCCGGCAATAACGGTAATAAGGAATTCCTAGCTGATTCTCCGAAGAGGGTAAGGTGCTGATTGTGCTAATACTCTGTGTCGTAGTGCGTCTTGATTGACGAGAAGAAGCACGTGAGCTGCTTAAAGACGACATGCTGCTATGTTTGCTGGATGACGCAGACATGGGTCGGTTTTTACTTTTCCTTCTTTCACGCCGGACGGCAACAGCTGGCATAGCGGAAATCATAATGGAAGGTTGTTCTGGAAGAACAAAAATAAAGCATAAGAAAAATACAGTCGCTAATATATCTAGTATAGTTTTGCATTTGAGAAACTGGCAAAGATAGCTAACGTACTAATATTTGTTGCTATTTTGCATTGAAATATGTTTAAAAGTCCTACCAATTTCATATTGTACAGATAAATTTGGATTACTGGATTTCACTTTGTTCTTTTATAGATTACACCTTTCCCTTGTGTCGATGCGTATCTCACTGTTACAAAAAACCCAACAACAGCTAAGTAGCATACATATTATAGTTTTTTTTCTGCAGTAGTTACATAATTTTGTTTGGGTAAAGAAAGCAGAAATCTCAAAATGTCTGTGTATCAATATCCTTAATATCAATCTATCTTAATCCAGAAAAGTTAGGAAATCTCCAGTAGTCTCCAAAAAATTCTGAAATTTCTAGGAGGATTGTTGCATTATTGTTTCGGAAGAGTCTTTGACTACCAGAGTAAAAATACAAGGTGGAATTAGGTGATAACATCGTTCAGATACACCCTGAATGCCATTTGTTCTTCTAAAGGAATAAAGTACTCAATTCTTACTACATAACCTGCCCCACACCATTACAATAACTCCCGCAGCTTGCACTTTCAGATCAACACAAGCTTGGTCAAATACAAATGCCTCATATGGTTTTCTCCCTTTGTTTTTTCTACATTCACTACAGAAAGGAGAAAAATGTTGCTCAGCAGAAAACATTAGATGTTTCGTTGTTAATTGTTTTGTACTCTGAATAACGTACCCATGACTTATTTGTATCTAAGATAAGTAGTTCTTGAACTGGTTGACGGCTGCTGTATGACAGTTGTAATGTCTTTCGGATGGTACAACTGAGGACAGTTGAATCTAGAACATTGTCAAAGGAATCGATTAATGAATGAGCCACAGTATGACGTTATTAACAAGCCTTATCGTCTTTTATCTCGGTTTTTCCGCTGGTGATTAGTGCCACAGTTTATACTTATAGTAGACATATTTCCTTAGGATTGTCACTGTCTTTGAGCAGGCGGTTAAAAAAACAGTGTTTTTCTCTTAGCCATTGTTTTGCAAACTTATCATAATATGACTAAACTTCTGAATTTATATGGTTCAAACAATCACCCACATATCACATGATCATACATATACTTATAGGTACGAGTGAGTATAAGTATATACTAAGATACGATTAGATTTTTGTATGTTGGCAAAATGTATCACTTACCTTATGTACAACCTTTAAATAATTAGTATTGAATCACACAACATCAAGTCACAAACAAAACAAGAAACTTATCTAGTGACTTTCCAAAAATGTTACTTTTCTATTATATAAAAACAATTTATCACCCAGAAAATATATGTTTTAGATATTAGTTGGTTGTTATTCCTAAACATATACCAGTTACAAACACATTTAAGTCAAGAATATACATTTATAAGTGACCTACTCAAAAAGTGTTACATCAGTTTCATTAAAGCAACATTGACTTAGACTTGCAATACACTAGCTCCCCCAGTGGCACAGCGGTATGTCTGCGGACTTACAACGCTAGAAACCGGGTTTCGATACCCGTGGTGGGCAGAGTACAGATAGCCCTTTGTGTTTAACTACAAACAAACAGAGCAATACATTAAACAGTTTAATATAGATATTGTACCATTTCTTAAAAATTAAAGGGTTTCCATTGGTTAACCAGGTTAAGTTTCATCAGATATGTTTGTAAAAAACGCTAATGAACTGTCTTACTTTTGTAAATGTGCTTAGCTTTCTTATCGAGAAATAATGTTTGTCATTTATGTGCCTCTAATGATAAGAAAAAACAAGTGTAATCAAAGATAAACCAGAGGTATTTAATTTTTAAAACAAGCGTATCAGAAGGTGTGGTCATTAGCCCAGTCCTAGTGACTTTATCTATAACTGATGTAGATGTTGATTCCACCAGCGACTTTCACGTTTCTCAGTTTACTGATGATGTAAACATTTATAGTTGAAGTAGAAATCCACAAATAACAGATAAATATAACTTTAATTTATTTTGAATTCTGCTGTAGCACTTGAAAATTTAGTTAATCCTCAATAAAACAACTATGATAAACTTTATCAAAGTCATTAAAATCCAAATTTCTCATCATACTTTACAACATAATACTGCAAGTGGTCACACTAAACATCTTCCTGGAGTAATCCGTTACCTTCTATTTGATTACAGATTATGTATTCACAACATAATACTGCAAGTGGTCACACTAAGCATCTTCCTGGAGTAATCCGTTACCTTCTATTTGGTTACAGATTATGTATTCACAACATAATACTGCAAGTGGTCGCACTAAACATCTTCCTGGAGTAATCCGTTACCTTCTATTTGGTTACAGATTATGTATTCACAACATAATACTGCAAGTGGTCACACTAAGCATCTTCCTGGAGTAATCCGTTACCTTCTATTTGGTTACAGGTTATGTATTCACAACATAATACTGCAAGTGGTCGCACTAAACATCTTCCTGGAGTAATCCGTTACCTTCTATTTGGTTACAGATTATGTATTCCATATGAAAAGTTCTGACTTCATTCAACATAAAACATAATGTATAATTTGAGACAGCCATGTTGAAGATAACGTTTTGAAAATAATAGCTATTATTTTATTTTCGTTTTACAAAGTAGAAAAAAAATCAGCTTTTTTCAGCTTTTATCCTATGTACTTATTACCTTACAATTTTGATTAATCTTAGTTTGTTAATATCATATTAAGTTGATTTATTCCAATTTGCTCACTAAGCCATAGTCTTGAGGTTTTTACATATACTCACCATTCCAGTACTGAAGCCCCCCCCCCCCAGTGGCTCGGCGGTAAGTTTGCGGGCTCACACAGCTAAAAACCGGGTTTCGATACTCGTAATGGGCACAGAATAGAAAGCCCATTGTGTAGCTTTGTACTTAATAGCAAATCAAGCAAACAATCCAGTACTGAATTAGCGAACAGTATTTGAAAGTTTTGAGTTTCCTCGATTTTATGCTACGTACGCACTATGTAAAGTATTAGGGATATCCTTTACGCTTAATATTTCAGAATTTTGAGTTATCCTTTGCCTTAACATTGAGCAAATCTATTTTCTGATTAGATCAGATTATCAGTTATTCTATGTATTCACTAGATCAGAGATTGTTACCTCCGTCACCCTTTGGTGACAGAGGTTATGTTTTTCCCCCTATGTGTGTGTTTGTGTTTGTCAGCAAGATTTCTCAAAAATGTTTGCATGGATTTGGACGAACGTTGGTATATATTTGGACTATGACCCAACTTAGAAGAGATTGGTTTTTTGAGGGTCAAGATCACGAAAATAAAAAAATACCTATCTGTTAACATGGGGCCGTTTTTTTCACACTATTTTTGCTCTATAATTTGTCAGAAATGATCGGATTTTGATGATACTTGGTGAACATTATTCTCATTGTACTGCCAAAAGTGGTCCGAGTCTGTTGATAATGACGGACATACGGACACATTTTCGTAAGTTTTGAGGGCCAAATATGATTAACACTGAGCTCTACTCTAGTTTTAAATATGTGTTCGCTATCTACTTTTAGGTTATTTCATATGTTTACATGGCTGGAGTGTTAGTTTATTACGCTTGGCCATTCTTTCAAAACTTGATATTATATCATGTGTTCTCTAAACCAGAGAGTCGGGCTATCCCATATTGTAATAGGTTAGCTCTTACAAGAGAAGTTGGGTTTACTCCTGTGCTCACAATTACAAAGTTTGTTTGTTTTGAATTTCGCGCAAAGCTGCACGAAGGCTATCTGCGATAGCCGTCCCTAATTTAGCAGTAGTAAGACTAGAGGGAAGGCAGCTAGTCATCTGCCTTCCCTGTAGCCTTACACTGCTAAATTAGAGAC